CACACACACACAGACAGACACACACACACACACAGACACACACACACACACAGACAGACACACACAGATACACACACACACAGACACACACACACACAGACACACACACACACACACACAAACACACACACAAACACACACACACACACAAACACACACACACAAAAACACAAAAACACACACACAAACACACAAACACACAAACACACACACACACACACACAAGCACACAAGCACACAAGCACACAAGCACACAAGCACACAAGCACACAAACACACAAACACACAAACACACAAACACACAAACACACAAACACACAAACACACAAACACACAAACACACAAACACACAAACACACAAACACACAAACACACAAACACACACACACACACACAAACACACAAACACACAAACACACAAACACACAAACACACACACACACACACACACACACACACACACACACACACACACACACACACACACACACACACACACACACACACACACACACACACACACACACACACACACACACACACACACACACGCACACACACACACACGGGGAATGGTAAATTGGCGTAAGTCGGCTTCTGCCACTACTGACTCGATGATTTCGATGTTTGGGTAGGAACCTAACTCGAACATCCTGACAGTGATGTTTGCAGCATGCAATCCTAATACCTCTTTGCAGGTTCTCGGCTTAGCCTGCTGCCATGCCAGTAAAAGCAGGTACACGGAGTTGATCAGACTCCGCTTCCCCCATGGTGGATAGCTTCGTTGGCACAGGTACCACCATGGGCCTGTGCCCCCTGCTGCAAATTGAAATGAAATGAAATGCCACAAACCCTTAGCTTAGAATCAGGGTGTACACACACACACACACCCCTCTTTCGAGGGGTCAAGCAGTCAGCAACCTGGAACAAGACCGGTGGCAGGGTGCAAGCTCTTTCACACAACCTGGCGTCGAGTTAACCTGTCGGGCGGTACTCTCACAAGTGCTGGTAACCATCTTCGTCATGCAGGAAGCATTTATGTGGCCCGTACCAATCGTGCCTCTGCTCCTGAAAAGTATGATGACTGTGGTGACAGCATCGGTTGTCACACTGATTACAGCGATGACGGCAGCGAATGGGTCCGTCATGAAAACGAAACCTCCGGTTGAGTCGATCCCAAATTTGCCAAAGTAACTCAAGTAATTGTGCAGTGGACGCTTGATCAATACGCCCATTGCGTATCTCTCATCATTTGGCTGTCAATGGCTGTGGGAAACCTGCGAGATACTGAAAGAACTCGAACCTGAAAAGGCAGTGCAGAGCTGAAGTCTCGTATGCACTTGCTGCAGGGCGAGCTAGTTGAACGGACTGTCGGGGACATCTCCTTTCGAGGCGTGCTCCAGATCCCCAGCCCCATGGAAGTGCCGGCGGAGTTCCACAAAAACCCAAGGGGATCCCTTCATGCCCCAGGTGTGCCCAAGGCCAGGCCCCCGCTCGCACCACCACCGCCCCCTCCTCCTTCCTCCTCTCCTTCATCTACCGCGGTACCGATGCAGAAACCGGCGCCTGACCGATTGCAAATTCGTTCGCCAACGCCGCTGTTTTGCTGTTCCTTTCGGCTCGAATTCGGCACCCAGGCCATGTTCGAACAGCACAGGTGCAATCCATAATGTATGGGCAGAGGATGAGCGTGAATATGCCCATCCAGATGTTCAACACACCGAACGTGGCAGCCGCTCCCAAAGGCCCACCTGCGCCATCCATTCCCCGGCCTCCCCGGACGCAGTGGCCTGGCCTGCCTGCGGATCATTGGGCGCAAAATAGAAGTTACCTTGTCAGATGCCCACCATGCTCCGACAACCTCTACGACGTGGATGGCGACAACCAGTCCAATTTGATGGTGTTTTGAAGTTCTGAACTTGTACATGTTGCTTGAACTTCGTGATCTGATGTTGTACACTCCGGAAGGGCCGCCGAAACTCAAGCAAAACTACAAGTTTGATTGGGTATTGGGAATCCATGATTCAGTGCATGCTGGTTCCTCGCGAATTCATCCTCCTCCTCAATTCCCTGCAACAGGAAGTCTTTCTCGGAGATTTTACGAATTACGTTCAGAAGAATCCATTCCAAAGTGCGGATCTACGTAGCCCAACCCACCGCCACCGATGGCTACGACCTTTCTGGCGTACCACCCAGTCCACCGTAACGTGGTTCAGCTGATGGACGCGACTCCGGTGCTACAACAGGTCTGGTGGAATTCCACCCTCCAACCTTCGCAGCCTGTTCCGTTGCTGCCGAAGCATCTTGGCCAAGGGCTCTGGTGTCAAATCCCCTTGTCGATAACCTCTGATCATCGGTCACAATGAAGTTCGAAGGGCGGCCGTTGCGCAGCTCGTATTGTGAGCGAATGGAAACAGACATATTTGAGGAGAAACAGCGTCGTCTACCAGGTCTTACGTGATGCATAGAATTATGCCATCAAAGTTTAGTGCGGTGCTTTTGGGCCACAGATGAGACCACAATATAAAAGATGTTCATCAGATGACTGTGAAGGAACCGCCATTGTGTAACTGCAGCTTGTGACGTCATTTGTCGTATATGCCGTGCACTGCTTCATCTTTGAACCCGTGATTGGAACCTGTATTTTAATGGCATGGGGCTGAGCCGAGAACCGCAAAAACGGCTTTGTCCGAAAACGATATTGCGGCATTGTTTGACTCACCCAGGATGCGACTTAGCGGTCCTAGCGACAAGCGTGACCAGTAATATTTCCATTAGAACTTGTTCTTGTTGTTGTTGTTGTCGTTGTTGTGGTTGTCCCTGTTTTTGTCATTGTCATTGTTATCGCCATTAACATTAACAGTGCCATGACCATGGCCATTGTCATGGCCATGGTCATTGTGGTTGTGGTCGTGGTTGTGATTCGTGACTGTGGTTGTTGTCGTTGTTGTTGGCGTTTGCTTCGCACGCCATATTAGGCTTGGGCTGTGGGATTCTTGAAAATGTTCTTCTGCGGGAAGCAAAAACTGAAAGCCGAGTGGTTTTGGTTTGCCTTGCATTGCCTCAGCCATGGTTTTGCTTCATAAGATTCCAGCTTACAAACGCAAACCCTCGAAGTGATATCTGATATCTTTTCCCGGCCAAACAGTCTGATCGCCGTCGCAATACCGATATTTTTTCCGCCCGGTTTGCTGTGAGCCACACGACTGTGTTGCGAGACTTCACCAATTTCCTGTCTGCTCGCCTGTCTATGCATGCGGTGCTTATCTTGATGGGCAATCACTGACAGTCGTGTGCGAATCCGTGCCGTGGCTTGACTACACAGCAGCGCACATGCGACGAGCACTAACAAGAGACCAAGTGCTTGATGCATTTTGCCACTTTGCAGTCGACGACAGGTCTTCTGGAGGGTGAGAAAGCATCGGTGTGCAGCTGCTGCAAGCATCCGTTTGAAGCCGAGACCAAAGAAGAAGAGCTGGAGCAGAACAAAAACAATTGGATGTCAACGCCAGCAAGAGTGCAAGTTCCATACAACCCGGAGCAGCCTCAGTATGTTGAGGGCAATGAGGACTTCAACGTGTGGTATGGCAAATATTTGTCGGATCGCCGGAATCCGCGTGACCGGGACAGGGTGCAGGCAGGACATCGATGTGATCCTGAGAAAGATTCCGGCTGGACACAGGCCGATCACCCTGGCTCCGGCAGTCCGGGTTTTTGTTTGTTCTATGCACGTGGCTGTTGCGGGTTTGGACACAAGTGTCGCTATTTCCACCACGTCCCCACAGTGCTCGACATGGCATCCTCGGACGAGGCACATGACATATTTGGCAGAGAACGGTATTCAACTCATCGTGATGACATGGGTGGTGTTGGTAGCTTCAACACCGAGTGTACCACCCTGTTCGTTGGTGATTTGATGTTTGACCGGGGTGCACCAGATGCAGTTGAAAGCGTGCAGAAGGAGTTGGAAAGCAGCTTCAGACAATGGGGCGACATAGAGGATGTGCGAATAGTCCCTTCCAAGGCGATCGCTTTCGTGAGGTACACCTGGCGCTGCAATGCAGAGTTTGCAAAGGAAGCCATGGCTGGTCAAAAGTTGGGGTTGTCAAAGTGTATCGTGGTGAATTGGGCACGTGATGACCCCCGGCCGGATGCCAAGAAGCGGAAAAGGACGGAACATGCAGAACAAGTCGAGGCGGCTTTGAAGAATCGAGCTGCCGCCCTTGGCTGGACTAAGCCCGAGATAGACTCCATCAGCACCAGGGGAAAGCCTGACTTCATTGGTCCAGTCGGGCCGTATCCTGACACCAGCCCTCAGTTCCAGTCGGGTCATGGCCAAGCTGTGATGGATGGACCGGCGGGGGGACCGGACGGACCGGCGGATGGACCTGGAGCAGCTTTGAGCCAGACGGACTTGGCTCAGCAAGAAGCAGAATCAAACATGCGCAGATTGGAAAGTGCGCTTCTGCGTCTGCACCCCATTCCTTGATGTGTGATCAGCCCACCTGGCATCAGTGTTTCACATCTTGGTATGTGCCGGACCACGTGCAATGAAAAGTACGTGCTTTCATGAGGTCTGATATAGTCCACGCCTCCATGTCTGGCAAGTGCGCTGAGAGAGCGAGGTGCTAGCTGGGAAGTTGAAGCCGAATCTGGGCCGCTTTGACAATCCTCCAGATTGGCAGGCTTTAGCCTGAGTATCACATTACACGGTACCATTTTGAGGCAGGTCTGTCAGTGTGAACGCTGCTGACGTCTGTTCCACCGGACATTAGGAAATCATCCAGCACTTCAGAGGAAGCGAGCTGCAGACGTGCGCTATTGTACGAGAGTTGGTGGTGTTACCATGTAGTGAAACTTTTTGTACCCTGTGTACACTTGTGGGCTTCTCCCTCTCCTCTAGGCGCTGTTTCGCACTCAATCTGTCAAGGACGTGCCAACAGCAATTATCGCAGGCAGCCCCCGATTTCGACCATTGAGCGAGGTTCGGTGACGTTCCCTGGAAATCCTGGAACAAGCGTCGTGTAATTCACCGTGCGGTTTGCTTGTCTCTCCTGGCTGCTACTCGTAGCAGCATCCAGCAGGCCTAGAAGCAACCCAAGGGATCTTAGCGGCCCGCGCCTGCTAGAGGGTCGCTGCTCTCCATTCGTCTCTTTTGCTCGGCGTGTGTTGCAGTCCCAAAGCCTTTGCAGCCCTTGGTGTTGGTTTTTATGGTTTTTATGTCTTGACTTCTCTGCAAGCGGCCTCTGATGCCACCCTCTGACGGCTTGACAGTCTCAGACATGTCCTGTCGACACTCCTCGATGCGGCGCGCATGATGATCCGGGCTCTCCTCCAATCGTGGAGAGCACGTGGGTAGCTACGCTGCTACGTGCGTCGTTTGCGCAGATGATCTCACTGGTTGTCGACTTGTAAGCACATATGATTTATGAGAGACTAAAGTTGAGGCGCCTGCAGTTGTGGTTGCGATTTTGGGCAGGCTGATGCAGCTCTCGCCCTTCAGGGCTGTTGCTGTTGATCGAGGTACATTAAGGGCCTCCTTGAAGATCGTCTGAAGGCGATGATCAAGCCCCAGTGCTCCGCATTGATCTGCATGGCCGTTCAGGCAGTTGGTGCCAGCAGCTTTTCCAGGTACGTCGACAAGATTGCAAAGCAGATCGCCGGCACGGTCTCAGACATTCTGGGCAAGAAGGATGAGAAGAAATCTCAGGACAGAAAACTCCCGCAGCATGTGTTCTGTTGGTCTGCGGCCGGGGCCGTCCTTGAAGTTCAGAACAACCGAGGCCCCGCAAGGCGGCAAGGTAAAGTCAGAAATATGCTACAAACGGGAGCATGCCGAGCCTGAATCTGTGACACATTCGGATGTGTGCATGTTCAGAAACCAGGGCTCAGCCAACAGTTGGCATAGTCTGCAGAAGGTTTTGCGACATCAACTAGGAAGCCAATCTCCAGCTTGGGCAATGGCTTGTTGAATGGGCCGGGCTGAAGATCCGCATGCGCCCGACAGATCGGCATCCGCTCTTGGTCGGGCACCAGATACCCAGAGCAGCTGAATGATTCATCTGCAGGCGAAAACAGGTACACAGAAGAAGTTTAAGGATATGATTAAACAAATGAAGCCAGATGCGCATTACTCTGTGTCGGTTTCATCGGCATCTTGAAGTTCTGGATCGATTGCGTTTGGCGGTTGAGTGGGCTGGCATTGTTTCGCAAGCTGCAAAGTGCATGCCAGGAGAAATTTTGTCAAGAGCTCGAGCTCATGCACTTGCAGGCGCATTCTCGCTGTGATGGCCTCATACTTGCTGGCAAGTGAAATCTATATACCTTTATGTTGCGGCACTCTGAAGCTGTAGTGCCAATGGGACCAATGTACTATGTGCCTTATGCCAGCTGGTGCTCCACTGATTCTCAGGTCCTCTTTCCAGCACCAGCGAACTAATCGTTGTTGAAGCAAGCAAGAGCACGACACTGTTCTCATGGCCTGCATCCTGGATTTCGCGATCTTGTATGCAAATTTTCTCACGGTTTGTTCATATCGAGGCATACAGGACAGATGCAGTCACTTTGAAGTTTTTACATATTTCCTGGCGACCCCAATTCCCTGATCCGACCCGTTGTTGGCATCAGTGCAACCAGCTTCATCGAGCAGCTTGACAGACCAAAGCAATATATGGCTCTCTGGTTCGAAAGCACTCCCGTTTGCTTCCCACACGCAGGAACGCGAGATCAAAGACCTTTCCGGTGGAGAACTTCAGCGGTTTGCCATCGCAGGCGGGACTGACGGGGTGATAGATGTCATTTAGTTTTTCCCTGAGAAGCCACAGAAGCTCCTGCCAGTTCTATGTGTGCAAGATGCGCAAGTGTACATGTTCGATGAGTGCACTCCTCAGTCCACATTGGGTCACTGCAGTTTGCCTGTCGTGTTCCAATGCAGCAACACTTCACATTTTTGTGTCGAGGCCGTCTTCATATCTAGATGTCCGGCAACGCATTGCTGCGGCACAGGTGGTACCGTTCATCGGGCATGCAAATGACTTCAGGATATGTGCAAGGCACTAGGGCCTAGGGTCGACAGAATCAACCGCCAGTGTCTGTTCGGCAGCCTGGCTCGATGCTTCCGCTCTTTGAGTCTCCTACCGATGCCTCGGCCTTGCCCATCTTGCGCTTTATCGGCGGGCGCTTCCTGCGTCAAGTCGGCAAACTTGGAAAGACTTCGCCAGACCGTCTTTCACTTAGACTTGCGAATCCCGGTCGGCGGAGCTCAGGAGGTGGCCGCAGCGGGGCTTGGAAACTGACGACTGATGGCGAGCTACGTGCTTCATTTGCGACGGCTGTCAACAGCACTTCCATGAGGCTTCTTCAGACGGTCCACGAGGTCAACAATTCCGGACAGCGGTGCTGCGGCCCCTTTTGCGGCTTGCTAGGCCTTTGCCCCCTGCATGGCCGCCTTGGGTACGCGGGTCCTGCTCCGGATGGCCGTGGCGGCCTGAGCTCTGTAGGCTCGCTCGCCTTTCTTGGCTTTGCTTCGCCTTGTCCTTTGGGCCCTCTCTGCATCCGCCCGCATCTTTTGTGTGGACGTCCGGTACCAGCACGCCAGCTGCACGCTGAGGCTCGCCATCGTGTCAGGCCCAGCAAGCATGCCCGATGCCAGCAAAACCATTCAAGCGGCGCGTAGACGCACCAGCCTTAAGCACTTTGCCGGAGACCACCACTCACACAGCCATTGCTTACAATGTCTGCCGGCAGACATTCCAAATATTCTAATCCTCCGCCGCCATTTTGGCAGATGCTTCATTTCGGGGGTGTATGACAGCTGCCGATGGGCTAAAGGCATGCCGGCGGAGACTGCATTTCCCAAAGCAATGGTGCCCGGAGGTTTTATGGTAATGTGCACCTCGAATGGAATGTGACCCGAGCAAGTGTCTCATGCAGATTACTGCTGAGGTCAGGTGGCTGTTGACTACAGGAAAGAGCAGGGTATGAGAACATTTCACCACATAAATCGTGGAGTGCGATGGAGAAGCACTGCCGTGTACTGCATCCTTTTCACTCGTTCGGGAATGCTTTTGTTTTAATCCGATCTTGTTTTCATCCGATTCTATTTGAAATGGCTTGCACTGGGGGATGGCTTGATCAAACTTTTTGGCTGGCTGGCGAGGTTGATGCTTGAAATAGATTGTTGAGGGGTTTTGCATTTGCGCCGCCGCTGACTGCTATGGCAACAGTGGCACGAACTATCATAAATTTCTGGCGTGCGTTCGTGTTCGTCTTCAAGGGAGGGGAACAATGTCCGCCAGGCCACAAGCCTGTGGACATAATAACGGGCGAGAGAAGGAACACAAGGACGGCGAGAAGTGCTCGTCGAAATGTTGGACGAGGGTCCGTACCCCGACCACGTCATCATCGACGTGGTCGACGTTGCCTGTGATCTGCTTTACATCTTGGTTTTCGGGGCCGCCGCTTGTGGAGCTTGGTGCACCGGCCGGTGCTCAGCTGCGTGCTGAATACAAACCTTCAACTGACAAGAGCCGTTCTGGCGCCCAGAGTAAGCAGCGCGCGGCTGTTCTGTGCAAGACATTCGTGTCTGTACGAGCAGCCGCGAACATCCTTGTTGGCTCTTCAACATGTTGAGGCTCCGAACCACCATAAAATTGACGGTGGTCGAACTGCAGCCGGCCGGTTCCGGTTGCAAACCCGCTTGCCGAACGGCGCAGAAGTGCAATAGTTTGGGCGTCTAAAGTGTGTTCCGATGCAGCAGTCTGTGAACCATAGTTCGGACACTGCTGCCATTCCCCGAGTCATTGCGAGAGGTTCTGCAGTAGGAAACATCATGAATGGCGCCGACCAGCCATCATAACATATACAGGGATGCATAACTAGCTCACTGATCTTATGAAGGTCATCCGGAGCCTGCAGACGGTGGACAACTACATTATTGTCGTGGAGTCTGCTTCTTGTTTTGCAGCGGCACAAACGTTCCCTGTCCTTTGCATTTCCAGTTGTTCCGTTCTGGAGGCACGACCTGGCCGTCTTGGATTACCTCTCCGACTTCATCTGCTGCCTGCCACGCTTGCGTGCATTGATCTGATAATGTTGTCTTTGCTTCGGCTTTGCTGCTCTTTTCAGGTGGGGTTCTGCTGGGGCCTATGGAGTCGTTACCATGCCCTTCAGCGTTCGCGAAGGCCTAGTTTCGCCATGCTTCGCCTGTAAGTCTGGTAGAGCAAGACAATGTTTTTTTTGCATCTGAACAGGCATCAACGTCTTCCTCGATGGCTTCATTCCGACGGACTCCTCTTCGAAGTCAAACGTAACCTACAGTACACTTTTGTCATCAGAATTGCACACGGGCAGGAACATCATACAGGCGGGCAGTATCCCGAATCTAGGAGGTTTGAGGCAAGACCCAGGATTCGACTGATTCATGAAAAGGGAGGTTGTGCTCCTTCATGTGCGCTAGTTGAAAGCCTCACCAGTAATTGCCGCTGCTCCGTCTTGCTGGACATTGCCATTCTCGGCAAAGCATGATCCGAAACAAGCCAATCGAGAACTTTGGCATCCACGTAAACCTCAGAAGGTGCGCTTACGAGCAGCTGAAGGTTGTAGGCGTGCATTTCCACAGTTTGCTGGAGGAACTGCATGACTTAGCGGTGATAAGCAGCGGAGAACTTGAGAAGGGCGAATTGTGCCCGCCACATACATTGACACAGAAGTTTCTTCCAGCGGCGAGCCTGGAGTCAACTTGGAGTTTCTGGTTGGGTCGCAGGAGAATCTGAGATTTCGAGAGGCGCGGCAGCTTTTGCTTCGACTTCCTAACTTTCGCGAAGACAGCCTTGCCACGTGACCACTTGCAGGTTTCCCTGACCTTTAAAGTCAGTGAAGACCTGGATCCTTCAAAGCTGGACCGCATGCACAATACAGAGTGCTCCGTTCACCCGTAGGCATTACATGAGCAAGAGTTTCAGTGCACGGCGTGTGAGGTACCCAGACATGTCCAAGTTGATGGGCGACTTCAGACTAGACATCAAGGCATGACTGTTAGACACGGTCAGTGACAGTTGTACGCTTGCCAAAACTGCGCCTCACAAAGATGCAACTGGCTGGACGAGTGATTCAACACTTCAGTATGTCATGACTGGTGGACTCGCGTCGAAAGAGAGTCGATGTCGAAGACCGCAGAAGTGGAGAAGCGAAACTGCTGTCACAGAACTCAGACGTGGTAGAAAGAAGTCTCGGAGCAGAAGGCTCCAAGAGCCGGGAACTGTCAGTGCAGTATCGAGGTACCAAAGCTGCAGGATGCCTTACAGGTTTCCAGAGGATTTTCGTGAGGTCACCCAGAGCTTGAAGAGCAAGAAGGATCTTGCGCGGTCCACGGTTCCAAAATGCACATACTCGACACTCGACACGAGCTAATCTTGCTCTCACCTGGGCTCACCAATGGTTCGGTTCGTATGTTGCCTTTCCAGATCCTTTCAACACCCGGAATCTCAATGGGCGACGGTTAATGATTTGCGCGCATCTCGAGTCTTACTAAGTCACAAGCATTACTGGGACAAGACGCAGGGGCCTGCACAGCCGGCCGCGACCCAAGAAGTACAGGAGGCATCCCGCCGAACCGAAGTCAAAAATTCGGTGCTGCGGAGGCACTTTGCCTAGCTCCGTCATCTGGAAATCTAGTACTCGTATCGACCTTCCTGGGGAACTGGTGCCTTCGCCGAATCAAAGAAGAACTTCTGCTCCCCCCAACTGCAGCATTGTTCACATCCTGGTTCTCCAGCTGCATGACTTGTTGCCCAGGGGCAGTTCCGGAGACGCCTGGAAGCACGGAAAGAAGCAAGCAACATGTCAATAAAGGTCTCATTTCGGGTTCCCTTTTTCAGGACGGTTTCAGTTCCTCAGACATATTGCTTGTGGAATAGGTGCTGGTTCCCATACAGAACCGAGCCTCTCAGCGATTCGCTGCTATGCAGTGGTGTGACCTGGTTCCTGACACAACCCGGTGATCGTCATGTCAATGTGAGAAAGGGTGATAACGCCACGGCAAACTGTTGTTGCAGTGCGTGTGGACCAACTCTGGGATGCCACTACCGAGCAACCTTATCCTGTTACGGCTGGTTCGCTGAGACAAAATGATGCCGTGTTGAAGTTGGCAAAGTTTGCTGCTTTCCATGCGGCCTGCGACAACAGCTGCCCAAATGATACAGCTTGGAACGTCCAAAACAAAGATGGGCCGCAGATGTGTGAAGACTTTCTGTAGTTACAGTGGGAGAGTTCCAGTAAAGACGGTTGAGAGTGACAAGATGCTGACTTCAGGCCAGAAGCCTGTCGACAATGATGACACGCTTTGTCAGTAAGTCATGTTGAAGCAGCGGAGTGGGTCATTCCGTGACCAGGCTGGCAACTTTGCATCTTCAGAGATACTCGTTCTCTTGGGCCAGAATGGCTGTGGGAAGGATCGGCCTGTCATGCCATATGGTGCACCGATACAATTGTTTGAGCTGTTCCCATCCTGCAGACCACCTTCATCCGAATGCTTGCGGGGTTGTTGAATCCGGATGACATCAAAGAAGGCAGCTTGTTTGACACTTCGTTACAGTGGCCGATGGCTTGGTGCCCACGGACGCTCGTTGCATTGTCTTTGAGGTGAGGAGATACCTAAGCTTAATGCGAGGACCTCAGCTTAAATGAGAACCTTATAGACTCCTTGAGTCTTTTCGTGTCTTGGTGTCTGTCTGCTGGGTGCGAGTGCGTCTGAGTGAAGGTCTCCTACAAACCACAAACGATCAGTGCAAAGTTCGAAGGCACTGTGAAGGACGCGTGATTGGCCGAGCATTCAATGGATGGTCTGGACACTGCTGATTTCAGGACCTTTTCCTTATGAAGATTCGGGATGCGTTTCTGCCTTTGTTGTTGAGAAGGGTGTCAAGGTAGCCAGTTGTTGGATCTTAGCACTTTTTTTGTTCGAGGTTCATGCATCCGCAATTCCAGACAGATGTCACGAAGCCAATGCTCATTGACCAGATCGCAGACCACGAGGCTAGGTCTTTGGTCGTACGTGGTCAGTGTGGTCAATCTGACAGCCAACACGCCAGGTTGTAAGCTGCATTCTTGCTTTGGCAGGTGCAGACTCTCAGCGGCGGTGAGCTACAAAGAGCGTGTACCCTACGGCCTGACATGGGCATATCGACCAAAGTCAGGCAGTGATTGCAAGTTCCGCTCAACAGTTTCGCTTTTCAGGTCGCGCTGGTACTTTCTCTCGGCAAGCCGGTCGCAGTCTTAAAAAAAGGCTGTGCTGGGCTTGCTCTTACCGAGGTGTGCTACGAGGGAGGTTGTTTTCGCTTGTTCAGTTTCTTGAGGCTCGAAACGATGGTTTTCCTCGAAGGCATGTAGACACCCGACACCCTCGCAACAGATGCCGATGATGTCATGCAAAGCTCGGCGTTCTGCGAGTCGCCCGGTCTCGGAGCAGAAAAGTCCTCAACTGGCAACAAGGCTTCGCCGATGCCCTTAGCAAAGATCGGCGTTCGCACAGTTTTATGGTATGCTCGCAAAGCTGTGGTTTCTTCCGCAGTACCTGGAAATCATGATTCCCTGATGGAGGGATGGAGAGGCTGTCATTCTCGTGCGTCGTGTCGGATTTGCCAGTCTTGTTTGTTCTCGTAGAGCTTTCCTTTTCGGACTTTCGAACGTGGTTTGCCACTTCCCGTGTGCGGTGTAGGCAGAGTGCAGTAGTCACGTCCAGCTGCGAGCGACCGCTCATGCGTCATCGAGTCTCTAAACACCGAAGTCTGAAATGGAAAGAGTCAACAAGTCAGCGAGTTTGAAACCTCCCGGCCATGGAAGACTCGAACACAAGTCATCGGATTCGGCCGTTTTTCAGTCGCTTCGGGGGGAAGCGCAGGTCGTGAAGATTGGGGCCGCCATGTTTTGGTTCTTGGCTCGTCATAGTTGGAGTGGAGGACCTAAAGTCTTGTTCGAAAATACTCTGTGAAACTAAAGGCTACTGTACAAGCTCGAGTCGGTTCCCTGAGTGTGTTTCGTTTGACACGTCAATCCGGGATGGCATGCCGTGCTTGTCAGTTCGACCAGACCCAACCGCCGCAGGCGCCTTGAGTCCCGAAAAACAGGGTGCGAGCCAGCACTGCAGGTAGGCTATCGTTTTACATACTCTTTAGAGTTTCGGGCCCCAGGCTTTCACTTCTTGGGAGGTTCAGGGTTTGCCACCTCCATGCCCGTCAGAGTCAGTATTTTCGATTCCGAATTCATTCTTGGGTTTGCCACCCTGCTCAATCTGGGGTTAAGGTTTGCTATGTTCAGCGTTTTTTGGGTTATGCGGTTGTCGCCAACATCGTGCCAGTGTTCCGGTGTTTTGAGGGTGCCACAGGAACGTGTAATGTGCCCGCCGCGGAAACTGCGGTTCAGAGCTCGTCCGGCTAATGTTCAGGCTGAGATTCTTGTTCGGGTTTGCAGTTCACAGTTTGAGTTTACGCCCCGCTGCTCACGGCACTTGCGGTTTATGGTTTGCCACCTCCCATTTCGTTCTGTTAGATTCAGCTTTTTTTTGTTGGTTTCGGTTTACGGATTGCTACTGTTTGGAGGGGTTGGGGGGGGGGGGGGGGCTTGATGTTTTTTGGGTTTTTTGACAGTTTGAGTGTATGGCTTGTCAGTCGCAGCGCCTTTCCGGTTTTTCTCACTTCGCATTGTTGTTAGGCTCAGGTTTCGACTGTTTGGGGTTTTGGGCTTCGCAGTTTGGGTTGGGTTTGCCATTCTGGAAGTCCCTTTGGGATTTTCCATGTCGCAATTTGGGTTTGCGCGTACCATGCGCCACACTTCAGGGTTTCAGGGTTCGCTGCTGCCCACTCCTGTGTGGTTTAAATGCAGATGTTTTCCCCTGCGGTTTCGGATTTATACTTTACTGGTGCTTTCTGCTTCACTGTCTGGGTGTACGGCTTGCCACTCACCGCAATTTTAGGGTTTAGGGTTTGCCGCTTGCTACTCTTGTGATGTTCAATATTTGAACCTGTTTGGGGTGTCAGCTGCGCAGTTCGGATTTACGGCTTGAGTTTACAGTGTTTACAGGTTGCCGCTCAGCACACTTTAAGATTTAAGGTGTGCGACTTCCTCTTTTCGCTGGGTCCAAACTTGAAGCACTTGAACCCTCTTCGCACCTTCAGATTCCCAGTTTGGGTTTACGATGCAATGTTTATGATTTTTCATTTCTTGCTTTTGTTAGGTTTAGGTTTCGATTTGATTTTCTGCTTCAAGGTTTGGGCGTACGGCTTGCCACTCGCCGGACTTTGAGTGTTTGGGGGGTTGACACTTATTACTCTCGTTAAGTGCTAGTTTAGATGCTTTTTGGGTTCCGCTGCACAGGTTGGGTTTAGTTTCAATTTTAGAGTTCTGCTGTGTTTTCCGTTTCGCAGTTTGTTATGCAGCTGGCCAATCACCAGACATTCTTTTCGGATTGGGGGTTTGTAATTTCTGCTTTACGGTTTACATGTTCTTATGGGTCTCGACTGTTTACAGGTTTGATGCCCGCACACTTCTGGGATTTACAGTATGCCATTCTCACTTCTGCTAGTTTAACTTATTCGGTGAGTTCGAGTTTTCGGCTTGCCACTCACCATGCTTTTAGGGTTTAGGGCAGTTTAGGGTTTGCCACTTGTCAGTTTTGTTAAATCGTTTACTGCTGCACAGTTTAGGTTTACGGCTTGCCGCTCACCACACAGTTGAGGTTAAGGGCTGCCACTGCCGCTGTTGTCGGGTTCAAGTTTACGCCAAAAGGTTTGTTTATTTGTACTTCACAGTTTGTTTGGTTTTCGGTTGGGTTCAAACATAGCTTTCGGCTTTCGTTGTGTTGTCTGCTCCACAGTTGTGTCAACAGCTTGCACTCGTTTCCACACTTTTTTGGTGTTTAGGGTTCATGTTCCGTTTTTGTTAGAGTCAGGTACAGGCTTTTGAACGGTTTCCCGCTTCACAGTTTGGGCTTAGGGCCTGCTACTCACCACACTTTAGGGTCGAGGGGTTACCACTTCCCACTGCTGTTAGGTTTAGTTTTGTTCCGGTGATCTCCGCTTCGCGGTTTGGGTTTGCAGGTTGCCGGGTGCCGCGCTGGTAGGGTTTCGGGCTTGCCTGTTAGTTGCAGGCTTGGTTATTTTTTGTGGTTTTGGCGCTTGGAAGCTTGCCACTCACCACTCTTTCAGGGGTTTGGGTCTACGATGGTTTACGGCTTGCACCGCACCGCACTTTTCGGGTTTGCTATTGCCCCTTTTGTGAGGTTTATGTCTAGATTAGTTGTTGCGATTTCTCGCTGTGGGAAACTCACCGCTCTTTGGGATTTAGGGTTTGCTACGTATCACTGTCGTCAGGTACAAGTTTGGAGTCTTTCTGGGTGTTGCGCTGTGCAGCTTGGGTTTACAGCTTGGCACTTTACAGTACAAGGTTTAGTTTTTAGGGTTTGCCACTTCTCCACTGCTGTTAAAGTTTAGCTTTTGGTTTTGCGCTTCACAGTTCGCCCTATTTGACACATTTTTGGGCTTAGAGTTTGCAACTTTCCACTTGTAAAACATTTTCGATGCTTGCCGCGTCGCTGTTTTTTTAGGTGCGAGTCTAGATTCGTTTTGGGTTTTCGGCCGCACAGCCACTCGCCACATCTTGCCGCTCTTTGAGTGCTTCCCTGGTTCACAGGTTGGGTGCTCGCCGCATTCTACTTGTTTAGGATATGCCTCTTCCTCCTTTTGTTGTTTGTATTTAAGTTTGAAACTTTCCCGGGTTTTTCGTTTAGCAGTTACGGCTTGCCGCTCACCGCACATTTAGGGTTTAGGGTTCACTACGGCCCATTTCGTTGGGTTCAGCAGCTTGGGTTTACGACTTGCAGCTCGCCCCACTTTTTTAGGCCTTGCGGTTAACACTTCGTAATTTTGCTAGTTTCAGGTCTAGATTGTTTTCGGGGAAACTGCTGTGCAGCTGGAGTTTACAGCTTATCGCTCACCACACTTTCTGGGTTTAGAGTTTGCCACTTTCTACTTTTGTTCGTATTAGGTTTGAATTTGAACGTCTTGAACTTTTTTTGGGTTTGCCGAGTCTCAGTTCGGGTTTGTTTGGGCTTCAGGGTTTGTTCAGAGTGTTTTTGAGGTTTTGCGTTTCGCAGATTTGATTTGTATGGTGTGTTCCGGTTCACAGTTCGGGGGTTTACGGCTTCCTGCTCGCCGCCCTTCCGACTTTGGGGTTTGCCATTTGCTGCTTCAAAGTTTGGTTGTGCTGCTTGGCACTCACTATGCTGTTAGGGTTTAGTTTAGGGTTTGCCACTTTCCGCTGTTGTTTATGTTCAGTTTTCATGCCTTTAGCCCTTCAGTGTTGGAATTTGTGGTGCCAGACACCGCGCCTTTAGTGTTTGTGGTTTGCCGTTAACTATTGTGATGACGGTTGAGATTGAGTGTTTTTGGTGCTTCAGCTTCACAGTTTGGGTGTAAGGCTTGCCACCTACCGCACTTTGATAAGGCTTAGGGTTTGCCACAGGTGAGGAGCACGCTCAAAGTTAGGCTTACGGCTTGCCAGGAGCCGCAGTTTTGGGGTCTAGGGTTTGGCACTGCCCACTGTTGTGAGAGGTTTTGCTTGTACCACCTATTCCGACGTGCGGGGCTATGCGCATTTCAGCCTTGCATCGCTTTTATTGGCTGTGAATGTTTGGCATGTTTCGGGGTTTTGGGGGGTGGGGGTGGGGCATGGGGTAATAACGACATGTTTGCCCTCTTCCTGCAGACTCCTCCGAGTGCCCGTTCCCGCTCCCGGTCCCGATCTTGCAGGAACATGCGCATCATCACCAAGATGGTCAGAATTTTCATTTTTATCATCCTCACCATCGTAATCGCAGCTCAGAATCACAATGGTTCTCTGAATCATTCCCACCCACGCATTCACAGTATGCCGAAGCAGAACATTCCTCTGCATCCCAACCACCATAAGAAGCCATAGCCATGATCATGATCTCCATTGTCATCAGCATCACCATGCTGATCACGAGGATTAGAATCTTAATCTCCATGTGTCCATCAGACAAAACAGCCCTCACTGTGAGACACGCTAAACCTAATATCGTCAGTATCATCACCATCATCACTATCACCATCATCATCACCACCACCACCGTCATCATCATTTCCGTATCCTGCCTTTCCTCAGAAATTGAAATACATAAGCAGCCTGATCCCAGAATAAGCCGTGAAAGCACCATTCCAGCATCAACACATGCAAGACTGCAAAATGCTTTTTTCGCGATGGAAACAGGCTCTCCAACCGTGATAATGTCAGCAAAAGTGCGATGTTGCCTCTGCTAAATAAGCTGTGAGAATTGAAACAACGACAACTCCACCAGTCAAACGTCACTTTGT